CGCACGTTTTGTGCGTGGATGTCTCTCTCTCTCTCTCTCTCTCTCTCTCTCTCTCTCTCTCTCTCTCTCTCTCTCTCTCTCTCCCTCTCTCTCTCTCTCTGTGTATGTGTGTGTTAACTCACCATATGGTGACATATTATTATAAAATTATTATTCTTACTTCAGGATCTCTGTTTAACAACAATAAATCGTGAAACATATCCTCTCCACAGCTGAAAACAACCTGCCTAGGGGCTCTCGTAGTTTAGAGGTTACGGTGTTCGCCTCTCATTCAATAGGTTTTGGATTCGAAACCTGACAGCGACTGAACATTTTCTTCTGTAATTTTTCCCCTTTCACCTCCTTTCTTGCTATCTTACCATATTCTGTCGTCTGCTTTCGTCTCCACTTTTTGCCCCCCCCCTTCCCCCTTTACCCCCTTCTGTGGGCCCCGGACACTTTCTGCACTCTTTCTGCTTCTACTCCGTGGCTAATACTTATTGCTGTCTTTCAGCCACACCCTTGATCTTATGGTAGTTAAAATCTAACACCTAGCCTTCTCGGATACGGACGAAAAATCTCGGAGGTCCCATGTGCAAGTTGCACACGTTAAAGATCCCTTGGTGGTCCAAAAGAACGATAAGAGTAGGCTTCGGCCGCCACCCGGGCATAATTCAAAATTCCTTCCAAACTGAACATGTTTAGTGTGTCCCGCGTGCTCATATAACCCTATGCTGTTGTAAGCCCCCGTAAAACACATACAAACAAACAACAAACAAGCAAAGAAAAGACAACAACAACAACAACAACAAAAACAATACAAAAAAACAAAACAAAACCTGGTTATTAACACGACCTCAATAAGCCATCTCTTGCTGGTATGGACACAACTGCTCTTAGCTGTGTGCTCACCTGCAGGAGAAAACCATTCACCACATGTTTATGGATTTATTTTTTTTGCACGTATGTGTTTTATGTGAGTGTGATGGGTGTGTGTGTGTGTGTGTGTGTGTGTGTGTGTGTGTGTGTGTGTGTGTGTGCGTAAGTAAGTAAGTGTGAGTGTGTGTGTGCGTGAGTGCGTGAGTGCGGGAGTGCGTGTGAGTGTGTGTGCGTGTGTGTGTGTGTGTGTGTGTGTGTATGTGTGTGTGTGTGTGTGTGTGTTATTTCGCTGTTTTATGGTGACATGCTATTATACAACATTCTTACTTCAGAATCTATGTTTAATAATGGTAAATCGTGAAGGGCTATCCTCTCCACCGCTGAAAACAACCTGGTTATTGACACGGCCCAAAAAGCCATCGCTTGCCTGTGTGAAAACAAGATCTAACTGTTCTTATTTGTGTGTTCACCTGAGGAAAACCATTGTCCTTTATTTGTATTTTCACATGAAGTTCGTAGGTCAGAAGTTCTAATAAAAGCTTCAGATAGGAGTATTATAAAGTGTGAGAAAATGTCAGATGTCTCTTCTCAGAGTAAATGTTTAAATTAAATTTTGGTGATTTAAATTGCGAAAGCCCGGGAGCATGCTTGTCGTGAGTGAGAAAACGATAACAGCTGATTAGCCGAGAACAACATATTATGCTCGGAGTCCGATTAAGACGTACCTTCTTATGTTGGAGAGAATAATTATAAGCTTTTTTTGTGAAGACACAATTATTTTATACTTTATCACAACGCAATGATCTATAGAAATCTATTACTTAAGAGAATATTCCTGTTGATAATAGCAATAGCACAGCTACACTTTCGAAAGTATAGCACAATTGATTTGGGCCCGAAGCGAAAATCGACCACTTTTACTCAAGCCGAAACCGGCTATATTAATTTACAAGCAAGGCCTCACAGCATCAAATCATTATTTTTATCAGGGAATATCCATCCTCTGAAATGACTTGGGTTCATTTATCTGAAATGTTATTTTTCGTCTTCTTTATCGGAGGGAGGGGGGGGGTCCATCCTAAAAAGGTAGGAGGCAAAAACGCCCGTCATATCATGTCAAGACGGCCGTTTTACTGCATAATAGTATGTTTTACGCATCCATAGAAACACTTTAGATTATTTTAAACAAGTGAAGCTCTGCAGTTACCTCTCTGTTGTCTTCTTGCACGAGAGATCCAACAATTTGGTAAGGGCTATGTGGAATATCCCTATCTAAGACGCTTGCAGTGCACCCGGTTCTGGTATGTTTCCGTTCCAGTAGAACCAAAATGTGTCAAGACACAGTAGCGTCAGGCGTCCGTCAATTTAAGGGCCAAGGGCATACAGTCATATATGCATTATATTATTACCTTAAAGCCTTCTTACTTTCCTTGTTTCTGACGAAACAAGTGCTCATCAATCTTGAATAGAAGTAATGATGATAAATAATGGTTCACTCAGCCCAAAAAGTGTCCACCGGAAGTCCGCGCAATGGCTTTGTTTTGAAGCTCTCTTTCGTTTCTCCAGAAGAAGAATAGGAATAGCACCAACTTGCGTGCGCAGATCGACTGCTGTTCATCAGCTGTTCAGGTTCGTTCAGTACGGAGTTTTAGTTTTTTTTTAAAATTTTCATGACCTCTCACCTTTCATTCTAAAGTCAAATTAAACGAACAAAACAGTCGCCTCCTCCTCCGGAAGATGTTTTTTTGTCAGCGTAGCCATTAAAAAAAAAAAACGTTCTTCCAAAATTTGAATTCTTATTTATTCAAAAACCTGTTAGTTTCATTTGTATTTTTGTTACACAAGTAGGGTAACTCTGCTCGCAAAGGGTGCGCATTTGCGAAGAGGGCGCAACCGAATTTTGAGGGCACTTTTTTAATTGGCTCAAAGAGAGGAGTGAACCCTCTTGTAGTGTAGACTCTTTGATAGAAGTCGAGATATTTGCAACTGAAGGCGTCAGGGATCGCCTTGTGTCAGAGGTATAATTAGCGAGAAAATGGCCGTCAAAGTTTGGTGACTTCCAACGCTGTAGTGTCATTGGAAACAGCAAATTTACATGTGTGTGCCTTTGATCAACGTTTATTAGTCAAATCCACTCAAAAATGTATGAAGAGGAGTTAAGCCCAAAACATACAATTCGATTAAATAATTGCCGAACGTATGGAAAAATGTCGGTTTCTTTGGATTCATTATTTTGAAGAGCGCCTGACTTCACCACGATGCCACACAAACGTTTCGTCCAACTTGGACAACATTTTAGACCTCATCATGGAATACATTGAACATTACACTTTAGCATACATTAGATATCTTCTTATGTTCGCGTTTTCTATAGTTTATTTTCTTATCGCTGCAGCAGAATACGACACATTTGCATTAGGTCTACAACCTGCAAAACAGGATGGTTTTTGAAACTTTTAATAAAGCAGAAAAGAAAAGAAAGGTTAGCTAATCTAAGTGCTTCTACATACTATTCCAACACCAGTAATCAAAGATCCAGTAACGTAGCCTATCTCAAATCTCCAGTGTGTATTTAGAAAAGGAGTTGTGTTTGGAAACCAAGTTTGAATCTCCTTAGCAAATTTATGCCCTACTTAGAGCTTTGAAAACCGGCCAGTAGAGAACTATATTGACACCAAAGCAACGAAAACCCCCCATAAAAAACACCAAAAAAAACAAAACAAAAACACTAACGTAAGCGTTCGTTATCTATCTCGACAAGACAACAGTAATTTGCTTTTAGCTGGTCATCCACGTGATAAAATCAAGAACCTGCAACGTATTCAAAATAATGCGGCTAAATCTATTCAAAGAGAACACGTCACACTACTATTTTTAAAAAAAAACTCCACTGGTTGCCTGTGAAAGCAAGGATTTGGCTATAAACTAGAATCAATACGTTTCAAAGCTCTAAGTTAAGAACCAATTATTCATCCTATATCCCACACGGTTTTGCCCATTATCATCCACCAAAAACATTTAGATCGTCAAGTGCAAAACTACTTCCAACAGTGCGAACACAACACGCGAATGTGGTGAACGACCTTTCATATTCTCAGGCCCTTCTGTTTTTCATGAGAGTTTTACCGCACTTGTAACCAGATTAGGTCATTTGAGTGCCGAAGATTAGAGGTGTTACAAGAGAGTAACAAACAGAAAAAAGAAGGAGGAGAGATGTAACGATAACTGTTTGATAAGAAAGAAGGAACAAACCACACCAAACCATCAGCCAACCACCCACCAAGGGCCCTTCTGTATGGAACACATTGCCTAATGAGTTAATTTAGGTCTATATGTTATTATGATATAACATTTCAAAAACTTCGAAAGAAATCCCAAAGCCCCTCTTTTTCTGAGATACCAGTGTCCTGCTGTGATAAGTTGAGGTGCTGCTCTTTAGAGTCTATTAATTTTGATGCAGCTTATTTTGTTTTCTGTCAAAGTAGGAAGATTGTTGTTTTCTAAATTTTTAATACTACCCTAGATAATAACCCAGACCTGATTTGCCAATGCCATCGATGTCAGGTCTTAATGTCACCCACCTGCAGTAGGATCAACATTGCTAGGTTTTTCCGAGTAAGAATTTGGGACAGTTGAACTGCGTTTATTGACGTGATGGTACAAAACAGGTGGTCAGACTTTTTGTTGTCTCTGTTGTAACATAGAAATAGAACGTTGTGTGCATGTCCGTAGGTTTCTCCTTGTGCGCTCTTTAATCATAATATGTGTCACGACACGGTGGAATCAGGCCCTCGTCTATAATTGGACATATGGAGTTATTGGCATCCCCCTGAAGCCTGTTTATTTCCCTTGCTTTAGGTTGAAAAAATATCCATCTATCCTGAATAGACATAAAAGTATCTGCGATTTTAAGAGGTGGGGGTCTCTTGGTTTCAGAGGTAAAATTAACAAGAAAATAGCGCCAAAGTTTGGTGACTTCCATAGCTTGAAAGTTCTTGGAAACTGAAAATATACGTTTTTTGTGACTTTAATTATCGTTTTCCTCCAGTATAATCCACACAGTGATGTGTTTTTAAATGACTTAAAATGTGTTGAGCTTAAAAAAGAAAATTCGGGAAAATTTTTTTCCACGGGCAGGAAAATGCCAGTTTCGTCCATTTCATTATTTGACGAGCGCCTGATTTCACCACGATGCCTCACATAAAATACACCAGTTTTTGAAAGCGTTCCATGTCCCCGGAACAAAGTGTGAAGAAGCATCTGGCAAGGTCACAATTACTGTATAAATAGCAAAGCACTGGAGGCGTAAGGATACGGCATCCAGAACTCCACCTTATTCAGATGCAAACTTTCATTCTTTCACATTGCCCACTATGATGTGTCGAGTCTTCAGATCCTCGCTTCTTGCCTGGCTCATGTTGGGGTTGATAGTACCCTCGGAGGGTGTCAACGCCACGGAATCGGTAAGTGAAGCCATCAGATAGATATAAAACAATAATATACTAATATATATATTTATATATATATATATATATATATATAGCTAGAGAGAAAGTGAGGTAGCGTGTGTGTGTGTGTGTGTGTGTGTGTGTGTGTGTGTATGTGTGTGTGTGTGTGTGTGTGT